TTGTTGTTGTTGTTGTTGTTGTTGAAGAGTTTTCTAAACTCTAAGGTCATTATTGTAAGACAAATTAGATTTTCTCTGATACCACTTGTTGAGAAAATTACGGCGAAGAAAAGCAGTAACGACACAAATATAGAAGAACACGGAGAATTAACGAGGTTCGACAAAGATGCCTACTCCTTCGAAAGCAGAACGGCGGCTTTTCACTAATTTAGAAAAAGTACATAATTCAGGGATTCATGGATAATCCCTAGGGTTACATATAGCCTAATTTATAACCCTATAAAACACATAAAAAGGAAACATTTGGTACAATATGTAATTATCAAATTACCCTTGTACCGTACCCCAAACTCACATAAGGAAATTTTGAGAATTTAGACAGAATCTTTAGCTCTGCACCGCTCCTGATTTAGCACTGTCCATTTATGATATATGAGTCATATCTAACAAAAACATATCTTCAAAGTTTCACACGAATCAACTCCACGGTTTCCTCCGTTGCAATCTATAAGAAGATTTTTTTTAAAGAGAAGAGTTTTCCAAACTCTAAGGTCAATTAGATTTTATCTTTTTTTAATAATATCAAAAAAATATATTAAATTTAAGTAGTCATAAATTTATAAATAAACAAAAATGTCATTTATACCATTAAAATATATAGCATGAGGACATGGATGAGTTGTACAGCAATTTATGTAATTTAAAAAAGTTATCTGGTTCCAATCAAGATTATTTTTATAAGATATTTTTCTTATAAAATATTTTATAATATTATGAAATGTCTGGTCAGAATTAGTTCAAGAACTAAGACAACATAATTCACAAGAAAATTTCCATTTTTACATTAAAAGTAGATAGTTGCAGCAGATAGAATTGTACATATCTAATACCGAAACTTTATCTTTCACTTTTATACCACCCATATTGTCACCACACATCAAAACTATTACCTTTTTTAACTTCTAAAAAGTGCTGTCCCTCTTCATGCGTATAGATAGTTGCTTAACGTAAAAAATGAAATTTGAGGTGTCAGACATGTAAATACACAGGAATTGAGTGGACTTTATTTAAATCTTCCCTTTTTCATTTAGTGTTAAACTGGAAATTATTCAAGACCATTAATTGTCATAATTCAAGGCACCATATTGTTAATTTCTGTCTTATCTGCTAACAAAACAGCTGATATTTTCATCAAAACTCATTCTACCACGCGGTTTCAAGATCTACTGAACAAACTCAAGATGGCATCCACCGTACCATCATGAGCTTGAGAGGGGGTGTTAAACTGAAAATAATTCAAGACCATTAATTTCTTTGAATTATGGCAATTAGTGATCTTGAATTAATGGTCTTAAATTATTTCCAGTTTAACATTTAGTATGTTCTGATCCATAAAATGTTTGAAATAAGAATGATATATCCATGTAAAATAAAATAAAAAAAATTGAACAATTACTATTTCCATGCAAGGAACACAGATAGATTAACTGAGATAATAAAACACATTAATGGTAGATCATATTTAAAGAGACATAAAACCCAAAAGAAATTACAACGATGACCACAAAATTTCTCCAACTCCTCAAATTATTTTCTTTTTGCATGTTCCCCATCTAAAGGTAGAGTAGTTGTAATTAGGCAGTAGTTATTTTGGACATATTTGTAAAATTTTCTCCCGTGATTACTCACATCTATTGAAATTTATGGGTTAGATATGTAAATATATAAGAATTCAGTGACATGCATTTACATACATGTCACATTACTCATATATATATCTTCATATCATACACTTAAACTTTTATATTTATATATTTAACACTCAAATTTTAACATCATTTCTAACATTTTAAAACTGAAAGACGTATTTTCATGTATGATTTCATGACATCAAAATATTATAAATATAAATATCAAGTTTTTGGGGTTAGACATGGGCGAACCCTGATAGGGTATAGAGAGGGCAATTGTCACCCCTACAATTCAGATTTTTTTTTACTTATATGAGAACAATCTAGCATTTTGCTCCTCCTCAAATATTAGTTTTGCCACTTTCTGAAATATTACTTTGCTCTTAGTTCCGCCCCTGGCTAAATATGCCAATAAATAAGAATTGTGTGCTATAAATACTAATTTTCCTAAAATAGAAGAAGTCAACAATCTATTTAAAATAAAAAAAATATAAGCTTTTTTTTCTTTTAAGATGCAACTTATTCCCATAGATAAAATGGATACTAATTTGAATTTTTTTAAAAAGTTCAAATTGTATACAAAAAATTATATGCATGGATCTCGAGACGATCCAACGGTTGGAATTAAAAAGACCAGAATGCCCTTTGTTGTTTTCTCTAAAACAATGCTAAACATATAATTTTTATACATTTTTGTCCCTCATATCTTCTATACATATTATAGTTTTATGATGTAAAAGGGACATTTTTGTTTTCTCACACTTGTAAAATCAATCTGTTGAAATCGGCTCCGTCAAGAATCCTTTCGCCAAGTTCCAAGAACACTTGAAAGAAAACCTTCTAGGGAACTCTCTTTGTATTGAGTTAGATGATTAAGAACTTAATAATATTATCTAAATTTTTCCAGGAAGAATAGGATCCAAGAACTTCTTTCTTGTTGGAAAGAACCTTACTGCACTTCTTATTAACAACTCCTTGTCGTTCACTTTCCTAGGTCTGCGGTTCTTGACCTGGATCCCTGTAGCTAGAGAATAGAGTTCTCCCTCCCTGCAATGGTTCTTGGATGCCGAGGATCTTGCTACAGGCCAAAGTATAGGATTGCCGAAGAACACCTATAGTGCTTCAGCTACTTGAACAACATAATAGGAAGGAAAGAACTAACGCAACAAATAAGAACAAGAACAAAAGAAAATTGCGAGAACTACACAAACATAAGAACACAAGAGATTATGTGGTTCGGTCCATTGACCTATATCCACGGAGGGAATCACTACCAAAATTCACTAGAACAAAGGAAGAATTACAAACTCATTACATCGAGGAATCACAAAGTCTCTCTAGATCTCTATCTCTACAAGACCTCTCCCTCAATTCTAAAACCTCTCATCTCTTTCTTCCTATCCTTGCTGAATTTTCTTCCTTCTCTTGATCTTCTTGATCAGATTTTTCTATCTCCTTATGGTGGTCTTCCATCCCACAAGACCCCTCATCTATTTATAGATAGATGAGGCCTCATAAGAGACATGAAAATTACAAGTGTGTCATTTGTCATAATTAAGAGTCATGATATATAACACAATTTTTATGAAATAACAGCGGTTCAAGAGCCCAGGAACACCCCATTTCCAAATACTACAAAATGAACTATTTTAACAAATCCAAATTTTATAGAAACTGACTTCCAAGCAAGCATGCTTGTCCCTAGTAAACGATTAGCTATTTTTCAAATCCAAAATTAACTACAAGAAATTCCATAGCTCGCCCTTCCCCCACGTGGCCAACTTTTTTTTTTTTTTTTTGTGGGAAGATATACTTGCATACCGCTCCATTCTCAAGTATTTACATGTCTAACCCCTAAACTTTAATTTTAACGTATATATGTCATTTGTTCCTATGCATGAAAATACTTATTTCACTTTTTTTGAAAGTTCAAATAGTGATATTTCTATGTGAGATGGGGTAGTATAGATGTAAAAGTAAAACTCAGGTGCTGGATGTGTAAATACATATGAAATGGGTGGTTGGTATGTAAATCTTCCAATCTTATTTGATTCCATCTATTAAAATTTTGACCAACTATACAATAGATACAATAGAGAGAGAGAACAGAAAAGAAAAAAAAATCATTGATGCCATTGCCAGTTTACCATTGCAGATTCAGATTCTACAAAACGGTAAAAAAATTATTTGCAAACTAATCAACAAGAATAAAAATGATAAAAGAATATAAAGCATTTATTTGCAAACTAAACAATTATTACTAAATAATTATTTGGTGGATTACCAGAAGGTCTCTTACTGTACTAATCCTTATTCTTCAAAACCGCAAAAATATTAAAAATCAAATCAAAACTGTAGAAAAATGGGAGGGCAGATTTCTACAGTTTCAGCCTCAGCCGACTGTAATCAAAAGCAAGAGGGTCCCAACCAGAATCAGGCTCTTTCCTCTTTAAATTCTTCCTCTCTTCCCCCAAAAGATTTCTGCTTTCCGCCATGAATGCCCGCACCAGACTTCCCTTTTCATTGCCACCGTTCACCATCGGTCCAGACTTCAAATTCAAATCCAAATTCGGCGCCCAATGTGAACTTGAAGGAGTGCTCATGAATGGAGGAACAATTTCCAAATTCAAATTTATTTCTCCATAATTTTCTTTTTCTTCTGAATCTTGCAGAACAGCAGAATTTCTCGAACTTAGTTCGCATTCCAGGTTTAACGGCAAGAATTGAAGTTCAGAAGGTCCATTTGATGAAGAAGCTGCTACAGGTGCATACGGATTGAGTGGATTGGATGGAGGGAGACTCAACTCACAATCGAGACCATTCGAACCGGGATAGATATTCAGATCCAACAAAAAATTACCCTTTCCTGATCTTTCAGAGCTCAATAACTCTCCTGAAGTTAACTCTGGGAAAGTGTTGCAGGCCCTTCCAGTGTAATCAACAACCTCCCATTCAACTCCAACTTGCTGGTCCAACTCCTCCATTTCAAGTGCTGGATCTTCATACTCCTCCAATCCATTTGATGTGCTCGATAAATCATGCAGTCCTTCCATGAAATTTTGACGTAATTCGAACTCCATCAAATTTGGCTCCGATGACTCATACCAGACGCCTTCCCCTCCACTCATTTCTGTGTCCATGTTATCATCAGCAGGAGGTTTCTCTTTCTCATTCAGGGTGCTTGCGGCCGGAGCTCCATATCCATATCGAACATATCCTTTCCCTTCATCTATATCATCCAATCTAAGAAAGTTGGCTTCTCCCGCTTCATTGTTTTCATCACAGCTCAATTCTACTCTGCAACGCTCTTTCCCCACTGCCATTTGGGGCGCACATCCGTCAAAACTTCTATCAATCCACCTCTCAAAAAATCCTTCCAACCTTTGTTTGATCTGAAAAAGTTTATGACCAAACAATTCCTTAATGGTTACTATAATTCCTGAAGAATTCAACTTACCCTGACATAGAGGGATATTTTCTAGCGATTGTAAATATGCATTTATCACTTGTTCGTTAACTGCCTCGTCGTCGCCAGATTTTGCAGCTTCTTGGAGCCATTGATTGAGAAAGTAAACCATGTTTAACTGAAAAATATGATCAAGACAGTCCTCGCTCTCTGTGGAAGCAACGATGTTTGCGTCAGTTAATTGTTGTCTCGAGACATCTTCAGCATGGGTTGTTTTTGAATTCTTCAACTTTTGTATCATGCATCTCAACTCCTCAGCTTTCGATAGTGTGGATGGAGTTCTAATGCCATTCTTTGGCTCAGCGGGCGTGATGAAGTCCTGAAGCTTCATAATGCTCATAATGGGAGCTAGTCTTTCCCAATCCTGTAAGTTGGCTTTGTTAGTAGCATGCGATTATCTTGAGTCAAGTAATCTGTTTGATGACCATATGGGAATGAGAAAAAATTATGAGATGTTTTGGGAAATTTACATGAGAACAACACAAATCTTTCGTATTTACATATGAAACACAAAATAGTTTAATGTTTACAATTATACAATTCAAATCTTCCATATCGACATCCACGCGGAGCAGTACAAACAAAAATTTAATCGGAAGAACACATCTCCAAAGAGTTTGAATTTTGAAAACGATCAAAGGAACTCAATGGAAACAGAGAATGTCAGACAGAGCGGAAGTAAATTAAGAAAAAAAAAACTGCAGAAGAAACAGAATTAAGAGGGAATGATGGCAGTACCTAAAGCGATCAGAAATCCCAATGTTGCCGGATAAGCAACAGCTCTTGGTTTCTTTCGCCTTCGTCACCGTCCCCTTCTTCCTATTGCTCTCTTTATATAGACCTCTTATCTGTCTCTTAAATCCGATTCCTACGAAGCCTCACCCCCTCGCGTCGCCATGGCCGCTCTTCTCTCCTATTTCTGTGCTTCTGTTCCATTAAGAACAATCAAATAAAAACACGTGATGTCTGACCCTGTCTGTGGTGAACCGGACAACCGCCATATATACATGGAGCATTTACATAATACCACCAAACTGTCATATATCTACTTATCAACCATCTAAACTTCTATATTCACATTCATACCGCTCAAATTAATTATTGACAACATATTAAAAATATCACTGTTATTTAACCTTATCTTATAAGTCCAAAGTGTTATAAACATAACTGTTGAGAAAATTAGGGCGAAGAAAAACAGTAATCGAAACAAATCCAGAAGAACACAGAGATTTAACGAGGTTCGGCAAAGATGCCTACGTCCTCGGGAGCAGAGCGGCGAGTTCCTTTCAATATTCAGAAAAGGGTTACAAAATAGAGGATACCTCCTGTGATTACTAACATGCCTATTTATAACCCTAGGAGTAAACCTAGGCACAATATGTAATTACAACATTACATCTGTACCAAACCGCAGAGCTTTGCCCCCGCACCCCAACCCACGTAACTTCCCAATTTGGACAGATTCTACGCTCCGCTCCGCTCCGCTTCGATCCAGCGTCTGTCCCAATATGGTATATGAGCCATACCATAACAA